AAAAAAAAGAACCTGAGAGAAGAAATAAAATCCGAAAGTTATATCACATATACTAAAAAGAAATGGAACTTAAGATTAAATAATGAAGATGAAAGGAAAAAAGATTTGTTCATTCCTTGATTGATGAGCCTTTGGGTTGCTTCCAAAATTTAGCTATCACAAACTGCATACATATTGGTGTGGTGTGATATTTTCAGTTCTTCTAGGAAGATACCCAGAAAGGGAATAGCTGGATCAAATCAGGTCTCAAGTACTAGATTCTGAGGACTCTCCACACTGGTTTCCACAGTTTCAGCAGTTTACACTCCCACCAAAAATGGAAAAGGGCTCCTTTTCCCCACAGCCCCTCCAGCATTTGTTATTGGTTGATTTCTTAGTGGCTGTCATTCCTTCTTGAGTGAGATATAAAACAGAAACACTAACGCTCCTGGAAGAGAGAATAGACCGAAGTTTTGAAGACACAGGTGCAGGCAAAGATTTGATGAACAAAACTCTGATCACACAGGAAGTTCTACAAAGAATCGATAACTGGGATCTCATCCTACTAAAAAGGATTTACACAACAAAAGAAATCACCAACAGTGTGAAAAAACAACCCACAGAGGGAGAAAAATATTTTATCTAGTTGTTTTTCAGACAAAATACTTATATCCAGAACATATAAATGAAAAAATCAGACACCCTCCACACACACATACTTAAAGACTAAATTTAAAAATTGGTGTCTGAGATGAATACACACTCCTCAGATGAAGGAATACAAATGACAAATAAACAAATGAAAAATGTTCCACATCACTGCTTAATTGATGCAAATTACAATTATTTTTAATTAATTTAATTTTAAATATTTTATTATACTATATACATACAATGTGGTAGAAGTTAATAAGAAAACATAGTCATGGACATCACATGTAAGGTAAGTAAATAATTACTCAAAACTCAGTGTTTATAATTTCATGAATTGTTAACTTTGTTAAGAAAACTACTGGGAAATTCTGCTGCTCATCCCTTTTTGACATTTTGGATGGCAGGGCTGCATAAGTAGTCTAAAAATGCTCAGCTTTTACAAGTAAGGGCGGTATTAAATGTGTGGTAATACTTGAATATTTCTGAAGACAATATCCTTTACATCTCAACAGACAGAGTTACCTGGGCAACAATTAGCTACATCCTCACTCTGATACACTTGGATTTCGCCATGACAGCCAAGTAAGATGAGTGAAAAAACAGTGCTACGTGTGTGTGTGTGTGTCATGAAGAACAGATGTGGCCAGTATCTTTTCCAGAATGATAGCAGGCACTAGGCCTGGTTTGCCAAATATATTGATTATCCTTTATGCCTGTTTCCATTTCACACTGACATCCCCAAACTCCTACTCAACCCAAGCCTTTCCCCGCCCCACCTGCCAT